TGCAGTTATCAGAGAGAAAACTTTTTTATTTGTGTGAATGCTTTAGATCTTGTCGCTATTCTTATCCTAAGACATAACTACCCAAGCAAAAAAATCAGACGTAGGACATGAAACCATACAAAATTCGTGGTATCGAAAATCTTACATTAAATTGTACTCTATGATTTTTAAAAGATCTTACCGTTGTATAAAATTTTCTATTATCTTATAGTAATATCTTATAAGACAGTAAGACCTTTCAAGAATTTTATAATACGACTTAGTGTAAAATTTCTGATGTTTTCATCTGATCTTGTACGACTTTACCATCTGATCAGTTGACCTGGAATGTCTTTCACATCGCTCGTGTAAAGTAGCAGATTTGATGTTCTTATTCTATTATAGCAGCTACTCAAATCACCTGACACATTCACAATAAACGAACCTCTAATAGACTTGCCTCTATACAAAGTTTCGAGTCGAAATTCAGAAATCAGTTTTTTTGATATCTCTGAGAGGGACCACGACATTTATATAAAAAATAACACAAAAGTGCAATATCTTCGCAGCAATAAGCTAAGAACACGAACTCATTTCAGAGTATTCATAATTCATTTGGATCTACGTCATATAGAAAATCTCAACTCAAAAAACGATTTCATCACTTGCAGAACTTCTTTCATAAGATGATCAGTAAGGAATAGAAAATTTAATCAGGTTCTAAAAGTGATATGACATGATATTGTGTTATGAGGTTCTTTTGATTATTTGTGTCTGCTATTGTTAATTTGTTTATATTGATTGATTCGAGATTTTTAACTGTTGTTGATATTGTCATGTCAGAAATTAAATCATTTCTTGATGAATGTGATTCAAAGTTAAATTGATTATTGAAATAAAGTGATATGAATGGACATTGATCAAGAATAATTTCACATAAATTACGTCGAAGACCAAACCACCCTACGAAATAGAAAAATAAATAAATCTCGAATTTGATTTGAAAAACAAAAAGATTTGTTAATACAAACATGGATTAGTATCAGTAGCACCAAATGAAAAAGTAAGCCATGCAATTAATGCAATCCATAATGGTATAGCTATCACAGTGAATGAGAGTTTTTGAATTTGGTCATTATCTTCATGATCGAGTCGATCAACCAATAAAATCTTAAATAGAACAGAATATAATTTTCTGGTATTAATTAACTGAAATCTTAGCAAAGAAATTCTATTAATGTTGATCATCATAGTTAGAACGTGATGGCATAGAATAAGAATATTGTTATTCAAGGATAGTATCTTATCTTAGAAACCTTATTTTATGTTTAAATTTTTATATAATTTCTTATTATTTTACAACACATCGAATCTT